ATAATAATAATAATAATAATAATAATAATAATAATAATAATAATAATTAATAATTTGAATTGTTATTATTAATGGAACAAGTTCCCGTGTTGGGACTTTCTCTTTTTTTTCTAAACAACTCTCATATTCGGCGCTTGCATTCTGTGTGATACGCTATTCACAAGGCAGCCCTTCCTCTGTAATTTTGGCTCAACCTCTGCTGCGAATAGAGATCCTCTGTTTTTCCATTCCTGCACATCCTTCAATTCTTGCCTGCCCATCTTGGATTGAGGACAAAGTTCCTTTTCTCCAAGGCTGTGCCTGAGAGTTGCCAGCAGTGGAGTCTGAACTGCGGAGAAGCAACCACTCTTCACTCCGAAACCTTGAAGAACCCCACTCAGAGAGAGGGAAGTGGGAACAGACAGGACCAGAGATTGTAAGCAGAGCCTCTTCCTGATCACAGAGTACCCAGTGTGGCTCCTTCCGGCCTCTCCTATTCCTTTCCCTGGCCTGAGCAAAAGACCGATGCTGGAAGGCCTGGAGCTTTTTCCCCCAGGCCACTGCTGGAGGGAGAGGCTGGCCAAGCATTGAGCCCAGAGGGAGAGGAGCTTCAGCAACAACCAGGCATTGGCTGTCAGTGAGGCAGGCAGAGAGGATTGCCAAATAGCTCAGCTGGCTGGCTCCGCACACGAATTGGGAGTGCAGGTTAGGTGGGTGACAAGGCAGAGGAAGGACTACCTTAGTATCTGCAGGTGGTCACTGAATCAATTACTTAGTGAGGTTCAGATGAGAGTTGTAGATGTCAAATCATCATCATCATCATCATCATCCCAGAAGCAGAGTTTCCATTTATTCATTTATTTTTAATCTCCTGCCTTTTTCTTACAATCTCTTACCCTGTTCTGTACTTTTATAACACTGCTAACCTGAATGGAACTAGCATATGTATCCATATATTGCAGATTATTGCATTACTATGGCTAAATGCTTCCTCAATGTATGTTCCTACTCTAATATTGTATGTGTTTAATTTTAACTTTTACAGTGAATCATATGACAATGGCTCATAAAAGTGAAGAATTTGATTTCTGATCTTCAGCTTTATGGATTTCCTATGATGCAAATAGCTACGTCAACAGGCGTTCCTCTTAGGTTTAGGAGAAAAGAGAATGGAATCATGGACTCTTGTCCTGAGAACTTGCTTCTTCTCTCAGGCATTTCCAGTGACACAAAAGTAAAGAATAAATGAAAATATTTGTGTCAGTTACACACACAGAGAGAGAGGGAGAGCGAGAGGGAGGGAGGGAGGGAGAGAGAGAAAGCGCTACCGGTATTCAAGTCAAGCTTAAATGAGATTTTATAAAAGTGGTGTAGGTTTGTCTTCTTATGTAGGGCTCATGAGTTGTGTAGTAGTTGCTGTAAACCATTTCATGCCTGTAAGTGGCCTCTTTTGCATAAAAGTAAATTCAGCATTAGGTTACCTTTCCTGCTCTTTCAAAAGATAGCTGTTTGAATATATTTCTTCAATAAGAATGAAATAATTTATTTTATTTTAAAATTTATTTTACTTTGTGTTCAACATATGGAGAGGAAATGTTTTGGACAAGAAAACAAGTGCAGGAAATAAGGCTATAAAACCTTTGCATTATGTTGACATTTATTATAATACAGGGAGTCCTCCATTTATGACTTTAACTGACCCCAGAACTAGAGGTAAGTCAGGGCATTTGTTAAGCAGGTCATATGCCCACCCCAATTTTACAAGTATGCAAAATGACTTACACGTCTGAAAAAATTATTTGGGCCCAGTTCATTCATTCAAGAAATCATTCAATTTCTGTAGCCACCCATCTACCAACCAGTGTTTTGTATGCATCGTGGTTAAAGGGTCGCTGATTAAAATTTGGGACATAGAGCCGTATTCCTGCATCTTAATTAATCTTAGATTAAGGAATGGATATGCAACTTGAAAAGCAATGGAAAGTAGTATAGAGCTTCTGCCAAAAGCAACTTCTTCAGGAGCGTATTTTGTGGTAAAGGAGAATTTTCACACTAAAGTTAGTCATCATGTTACAACTTCAAGTGGTATCAAATTTGGACCAATTGCCACTGTGGTCATTAAGTGAAGAGGCGTAAAAAGTGATGCCACCTGACTGTATCGCTTAGCCAGAGCAATCCAGCCGGTTCTGGCTGTCCCTGGTTGGATTAAGCCATAAGCAGAGGGAGTCCCCAAAAGAAGTACAGATGTCGTTGAATTCACTGAAATAGACAAAAAAGTAGGTTAGAATAGAATCACATTAGTACAATCCTGTATTTGAGGACTGTATTTGAAAAGAAACCAGGTCTTCCTATTTTGAAAAAATGTAAGCATTTCAATGAAAACAGCAACTAGCACATTAAATTATATATCAAACAACATTTTGATCCAATGAAAACTAGCTAAGTTGAAAGAGACAATAATTTAAGCTGGTGCAGTTTCTCAGTAAAACAGAGCAGGCAGAATATTAGGGCTTCTCATTTTGACTGCTGAAATCAATCCATTTTAAAATGGCAAAGAAATATTGGGCCTCATACTTTAGTCCACTTGTTTTAATAGCAGCAAATATTAAACACTTGGCATATGAAAATCTTGGTGCCAAGATTACTGCAATATTGACAACTAGATACTGCAAAAGATTAAACACTGTTTTGCAAAATTGATTTTATTTTTACTGCCAAATGTTGCATGATAACTTTTCTACAGAATAAAAATAGGTAATGTCTGAAAAATTCTTATCATTTACCTTTTGTATGCAATCAGGTTTCTCTTCTGACTGTTCTCTGGCAGAGACTGAAAAGTGTTAAACAAATATTTTAGAACGAAGTGGAAAGCCATCAGTTGAAAGTTGTCTATTTCTCTCCAAGAAAGGGAAGGACAAATGTTACTGTCTTGGTCTTCTCTGGATGGGTAGAGATACGAGTTGGGAGCAGACGTCATCAATTGTCTGCTCCCGAGCTCTTACCATTTCTTTTCCCCCCCTCGTTTTCTTTTGAGACCTCCTGTAAAAAGAAATTGATGAAATACAATCAAAATTAACTTTCAATGCATTATAAACTCTCCCTTACAAAGGTTGTTCTACTTTCTTACTATCATGTAGGATAGTTACAGTCTTCACTCTGCTAATGACTTTCTGGTACTTTTCGTATTTTCTTCTTAGTTCCTCATACTCCCTTTCCTCATCTCTGTCAGCATCTCCTGGCAAAAAAGTAACAAAAGAACTAGAACTTGTACAGTCAAAGTTGAGTTGAAATAAATAACTTTTCTTTTTAGAATGAAAACTATTAAAATGTTAAGTTAAAATAATACTCACTTTCTGGATTGTCTTTCTTTTTGTTCTGCAGCTCTTTATTCTGCCTCATAAGGTGAGACATTTCACTGGCTAAATAGTTGTTCTCCTCTTCCAACTAAGACACAGAAATTACAAGAAGCAAACATCAGTCATATAATATAAATACGCGTACAAAACAGCATTGTAAAAGAAATGAATGACTTACAGCTCTTATGGCAAGATCTTTTTCTGCCGGCACCTTTTCTTGCATGGATCTGATTTCTTCAATCCGCTCCTTTTATGTATTTTTATGGAAAAACACAAAGAGAGAAAAAGGTAAACTTTTGTTCCACCATATAGTACTTGCCCATTTCTCTTGAAAGAACTTCAAGATGGCTATAGATCTACATTTGGTGGATCTCAGGACACATCTTCTCAATTGTGGCACCCTCTTTACAGAATATTCTTCCCAGAATTAGGTCATCCCCATCCCTTTTGATTTTCGAAAAAGCCCTTAAGAATGGGTTAGGTGACTAGAGTATGATGGAATGCACATTTGAAAGAACAATGAGGGAAGAGTTTGGGCAGCACAGTTCTCCCAGAAAGAGACCCGGATCAAGAGTTTGTACAGCCCAGAGCTGTGGGGGGAACATGAAACAGGTTCAGGGTAGGGTAATCACTCACTTGACTCTCTCAGGGTAGATTAGATTGTCTAGTAGTTAGAAGATTACAGCTCGAATTTGGCAGGATTCTATCCATTAGGTATAGCAAATAAAAGTTTGAACTAATTGGATTTCACTGTGTCCTTTTTGGGCTTGGGCTTGACACTGGGGTCCCATTATTGAGGCAGGGGGACATTTTTATTTCCTTCAACTATGGGATTTCCAGTTCTTTAGTATATTTATTATTATGGTCTTTTATCTGTATTTGCTATTTTTATATCCTTGGTTTTTTTAATCTAGTGTGCACTGTCTAGTGTCACTTTGGGTGAGATAGGCAGGTGTATAAATTTGTTAAATAAGTTAATTAAATAAATAACTTTTAATGTCACTTGAAATACCACATACGTTATGACATTTTGCTTTCCTTTTCCCTTTCCACTACATTCTTTTCTTGAACTCATTACAATATATTGTAAGCCTGAACCCCATTTTTTTGTTTCTTTTCAGTTTTTGCTTGTTTTTGTTGTTTACCTTGAGTAGCTCCAGAACATGAAGTCTGGTTATGCTTAGGCATGATGCCAGTAAATGACAATATACAATGTACATAGCTCAAAGTTGAGCTGCAAAGTTATTGATGCTCTCTGAAGTTGGTTTTTTGCTTGCAGACGGTTCCTTACCGACTAAATAACATCTCCACTGCTAGAAGGGAATGGGGTTTAACTCCCTGTTTATGTACAGCAGCTTACTTTGCCAATGTTGATGGAGCTGCAGTTTTATTTTTGGCAGTTCCTGGATTAGGGTATTGTTTTCTAATTGGATGTTTGTTAGCCATGCACTTATGGCTAATAAATGCTATTAATTTGAAACTCTGTTCTCCTATAAAAAAGGGTTTCCTTTAGGAAAAGAACACTACAAAATAATTCCTCTCATTTATAAACCCTGCCAAGGTATAAACAGGATAGTCTCAAAAAGGGACGATACATGTCCTCTTTCAATGTTGTGGATCAGTGAATAACTGTGGCATGGGTCATGATGCATAACCGCATGACATCCCTGAAGTCAAGCAGCCGTATGGACTGCTACCAGTAGCCCAGTGGAGATCAGTCTGCTTTCTTTCAAAAAATATCAGAGAAGTCTGTCATGTGCAGTTGCATGCACAAAATTTCTCAGGCCTAACAAATATAATCCTCAGGTGCCTGCTATCTTTTGTTATTACAGATCCATCGAGGGAGACACTGCTGGTCTCTCAACTTCACCCCAAGTTTCTGCAATGTTTTACTAGGGACCTCCGTGATACACTCAAATGTTGCCATGTCAGGTCATGGCTGGTGCTGCCTCCTGATACTGGCAGTCATTGGGGCGGGGTTGCAGCATGTGTGCAACAGACCATGACAAATACATAGTTCAGCACTTCGTAAATATGGTCATTGTTATCAGTGGGGCTTTCAATTGACCCAACAGTCTATTCCCCCTACTTAAAATGGACATTTATAAATATATAACATACATTTTATATCAAATATGTATTTAGTGAAAACATTTTGGTGTCCATATTACAAGCTATATTCATATGATAAACTGAGTCATGATGATACCATTATTTAATTCGCACAACACACCAAATCTTAATTACACAGGGTGGGTTTATGTAATAATCTGGATTTGTGTTTTTTAATAGCACTTATATACCGTTGCGCAGTGCTTTTACAGCCCTCTCTAAGCAGTTTACAGAGTCAGCATTTTGCCCCCAACAATCTGGGTCCTATCAGCTAGTTTGAGGGACAGCATCTGATATTGTGTTGAGACCTCACCATACAAATGCTACTCAGCCCATACCAAATTAGGGAATTGTTGATGACCTACGATAGCCTGAACTATTTTTTTAAAGTTATTGTTAACTGAATTGGAAAAGAAAATAACAACAATATAAAAGGCTCGTCAGCTGCCACCTTATGCTCACTATGATGTAGTGACAGTCTGCCATGACCTGTGAGGAGGGGGAATGAAGGGAAGGGGTTGCTTAAGAGAAAACAAAAGTAGCCACCTCAAAAACCCCACTCCAAGGTCACCCAGCTGGGAAAAAGAGGGACCGCATACCAACCTGGGCTCAGAATGACCGTTATGCAAATATCTTGCAGGAACTTGATTGATGGGCAGCGAGAGGCAGGTGGGGGAGGGGGAATAGAACTTAAGTGATTTTAGGGAGCGACTTTTACTTCTGACTTTGTACTACTGCTTTACACTTGACCTCTAATAAAACTATACCTTTCTCAACAAATGGAGCCAAGGATTTTTTTGGCGGGGGGGTGGGGGGAATTAAGCTGTGACATCTTTGACAAGGTTCAAGAGCTGAGTGCCCTGCAATGGGTTGAGCATCCATTACTTGCCCCTGCTTCTGCCAACCTAGCAGTTTGATAACATGAAAATGTGAGTAAATCAATAGTAAATCCCACTTTGGTGGGAAGGTAACAGGGCTCCATGTGCTTATCCTATACAGTCATGCTAGCCACATAATTAAAAAAAAAAAGAGTATATCTTCACTCTCCTCAGCAAGGAAGGAGGTGAGCACTTACCTAGTTAGGGTAATGAAACGTTAGCAAGAAAACAACCAAGCTTGAGAGAGCACCAAGGTCCCCTCATTTCAACCCTGAGCCACAAACATTCATTCCTTTATTCATAAATATTTTGATTCCAAGTCCATGTTCTTTATCCAAATGTTAAAAAAAACACATAGCTGTGCGTCAGCGTCCCCAATAACAAATAAGTTCATTTCAAAACATAATTTGTTGTCAAAAAGGCTGTCACGTTTATTACCGGTTAAGACATGGAAGCGAAGCAAAGAGGAAAAAAAATAATTTGCACGTACATATTTAAAGTATTTCTTTCTTTTTTAAAAAAAAGTCTAAACAAACAAATGAATTTTAAAACATAATAAGGAGAGCCCAAGAAGCTGCTGATCCAGTTCTACAGAGGAATTATTGAGTCTATCATCTGCACCTCTATAACTGTCTGGTTTGGTTCTGCAACCCAAGAAGACAGACACAGACTTCAGAGGATAATTAGGACTGCAGAAAAAACAATTACTACCAACCTGCCTTCAGTCGAGGACCTGTATACTGCAGGAGTCAAAAAGAGGGCTGTGAAAATATTTACAGACCCCTCACATCCCGGACATAAACTGTTTCAACTCCTTCCCTCAAAACGATGCTATAGAGCACTGCACACCAGAACAATAGACACAAGGACAGTTCCCCCCCCAAGCCATCACTCTGCTAAACAAATAATTCCCTCAACACTGTTCAACTATTTACAAAGTCTGCACTACTAACCTTCTCATCACTCCTTATTACCCATCCCCATCCCCTCCCCCCTGTATGACTGTAACTTTGTCGCTTGTATCCTGTTTCCTAGTATGATTTGGTTGCTTATTGTACCCTATGACTATTATTAAGTGTTGTGCCTTATGATTCTTGACTCCTTGACGAATGTATCTTTTCTTTTTATGTACACTGAGAGCATTTGCACCAAGACAAATTCCTTGTGTGTCCAATCACACTTGGCCAATAAAGAAGTCAATTCAATTCTATTCTATAAGCAGTTCTCCCTGAAGAAAACTTGAAAACCTACAGGTGAGGCGGGAGTCCCCGGATCCGAGCCGGACCCTCCCGCTCATCGCGGATCACCCTGAGCGGCTCTTCGACGCCTCCTGAACCGAAGACCAAGGTCGGAAGAGGCGCCTTCAGTTCCTCCCGCTTTACCCTGAACAGACGGAAGCTCCGGTCCGGGGTTAAAACTCCCGCTCGGGATCCCGCAAAGGAAGGCGCTATAAAGCGGCAGCGGCAGCAGGGGCGGCTCCCCGGAGAAGGCGGAGGAGAAGCGGGCGGCGCTTTGCTGTCTCTCCCCCCCCCCCCCCCCCACCCCCCGCCACCTTCCCAACTGAGGCGGAGAAAGGCCAGGGGCGTATTTTTGTCTACCCGGCCTCTGCCGAGGGAGAGGCTGGGCCAAAATGGCCGCCCTGGCGTTGGGCCGGAGCTCGGGCCGAGAGTAGGAGCGGCCGCTGCGGCCCCCGTCGCCTTCCTTGGATTTGCTGCCAGTGAGTGAGGCAACGGGTGGGCTAAAGCAGCCCGCGGGGTTTCCAAAGGCCTCTGTCTCGCCTTGCGCGGATAGGAGAAAGGACGGACGGAGATAGACCGGCTTGGCCGGGCTGGGTGGTTGCCAAGCCGGCGAGTTGGGGGAGCCCAGCAGGCGGTGGTGTCGGGGCTGAAGAATAGAGTCCCCCCCTCCGTGGGGAGGATCGGAGAAGGGGGTAAAGAGGAAGGGCTGGAGGAAGGCGGCTCCTTCGGCTTCTCTTAAAGGAGCCTTGAGAATGAGATTAGGACCGGGCGGGGGGAGTTCCCGGGCTCGGGCTGACGTCTGAACCCCGTTCGCGTTTTCTGGGGGTTCCCCAGTTCGCTTCGAGGTTCGTCGTAGGCTGCGAGTCTTGGGAGTCCTCCTCGGGCCGGGTGGGATAGGGATCTCGCCCTTGGCGGTCGGCCTCAGAAAGATAACCGGTGTAAAACGCATGAGGAATTTCGCTTTGCGTTATTAGGCTTAGTTCCTTAGAGGTCCAAAAACGCTGGGCGTGTTGCTACAGCACAGGTAGTTTTTGACTTAACGGTTCGTTTAGTGACCGTTCAAAGTTACAATGGCACTGAAAAGAGTGACTTAACAATTGTGTTTCACACTTACAACCCTTGCAGCATTTTGATGGTGGTCACCAATTGGGACTTGACAACTGATTGGAGTCAGATGATCCCCTTTTGCCAACCTTCCGAAGCAGAGTCAATGGGAAAGCCAGATTCATTTAACCACTCTGTTTACTAACTTAACAACTGTAATGGTTCACTTAACAACTATGGCAAGAAAGGTCGTAAAAGGGGCAAAACTAACTGAACAAATGTTTCGCTTAGCCACATAAGTTTTAGGCTCAATTGTGGTTTGGAGTCAAGGACTACCTGTACTGTCTGCCAGAGTCCTGAATTTTGTGACTGCAGAGATGCTGCATTAGTTGTAAATCCAAGGACTGGTGCTGAGTAATTTTCTTCAGTGCCATCGTAACTATTGTAATGCTATTATGGAGCCTTTTAATGAATTGAATGAATTATGGGTGATTTGTTTTTAATTTCCATTTAAATCTGTAACAATATGAGATATGAGATCCAATTTTTACTGAGTTGCCATGAAGAGGTCAGCATTTTGTGCTGAGGTTAGTCTGAGATCTGCAAACCAATGCCTTTTTTAAAAATAATACATTTATATGGTTGCTCATCTTACTGAACATGACTTTGGGCAGTGTACAAACCAACAATGTATTGCTTGTATTATATCTTTCTGGAAGTTCTTCAGTTAGGAAGTAGAAACAAAATGCATGAATGGGAGTGGTAATTTTTGGGGGGACATTAGATATTTAGTAATATAGTGTTTTGAAGGGATGTTGGAAAATCTATTTTGAGCTAATAGAATTATGTCAAGGGAAAATGTGCTGTTTTTCTTTAAAATCTCTCTTATCTACCAAACATATCACATTTACTGTAAGATTATTCACACAGCCAGACAATCACAAGATCAGCAGTGTTGACTGAATTTGCACACTGCATCATTCTTTTTTGCTCTTAAACACTCCATGGGCCAGTACAAAAATTGAAAATGAAGGTGAAGTACAGTTGGTTTCTGCTAGCCATAAAACAATGGTGGAGCCTTTACAAAAGTTAATTTTTTTAATTTTCTCATTAACATTTTGTACTGACGTATGTATGTATAAAGTTTTAAAAACAAAGGTAACAACTAATGCAAAGTAATTATAATAAGGAAGGGGAAAAAATCAAAGAAAGCTAAAACTGCAAGCAAGAAAGAAAAGCGAAAGGAAAAATAGAAAAGAAAAAAGATACAAAGAAGTGGTTTCCAATCTTCTTTATAGCAGTTATAAGTACAATTATAAATGTATCTCTTTAAAGTTATCTCATGACTCTACCCTATCTAATAATCAAAATCATAAATCATACATTTATTTTTTTCTTTTATGCAAAAAGTCCATCATGGTGTCCAATCAGCAGTAAATATAGGGTATCAGAGGCAAAAACAGGTGAATTTGGCCATCTCATTTAGGGATGACAAGTCATGATGTCATACTATGGTAATACTGGATCAGGAATGTCAGTAAACAGCACCTGTTGTTAAGGAATGAACTTTTTAAAGGCAATGCAAATATGTTTCATTATTGAACTGGTGCCTGTTAGCTAGGGTGATTAGCTCAAATCTAACCTTGGTACAAATGTGAGAAGTTTTCCATGTTATAACCCTGTTACAATGGGTTAATCTGTACTTTTATTTAAACCTATGCAGAATCAATGAAAGGCAGAAAGCCCCGTTATGATGGATCTCTGGTTCAGCTGACCAGAAGATTCATGGATCTTGTCAAAGCTGCTCCAGAAGGAGTCCTGGATTTGAATGAAGTATCTCGTTTGCTAGGAGTACGGAAACGAAGAGTATATGATATTACAAATGTGTTGGATGGAATACATCTTGTTCAGAAAAGGTCCAAGAATCATATCCAATGGGTGTAAGTTGACTCTTTCCCCCCCTAACTTTTGTACTTGAGATCCTGGATATTTAAATATGATGTTGCAAAAACACATTATTTCAAACTATTAATTATCAAAGAGTGTGATACAACTTGGAAGGCTTCTTGGACACAAATTCATTATTTTAAATTAATAGCCTTGTTCACTACCTCTACTATGGATAAAAGGATGCAGGATTGACCTAAGGATTTCTACAATTACACATGTAAATATTTGAGTTTGGTCTATGTTCTAAGCATCATAAAACTGTAAAATGAGTATCAAGCTATTGAGACAGAGAAACTTCCTTGCTTCAGCTCTTACCGCAATACAATCTCAAGTGCAAAGAATCTCCAGTAATGATGCAGAGCTTCTTATATGTAAATATTATTAATGTAAGACTTGTAAAGATTTTGTATTGTGTAAAAATGTACACAATACAATAGATACATAACTTACAGTATGTATACAACTTACACAACCTGATCTAAAAAAGGAAGTCAATGAGTTTACACTACTTAAGTCTGCAGAGGCAGGGGTGGGATTCTACCAGTTCGCACCTATTCGCTAGAACTGCTTGTTAACATTCTAAGCAGTTTGGAGAACTGGTTGTTAGAAGAAATTACTGGCCTAATCCTGTAAGGAAGGTAGGAAGGAAACATTCTGGTGTTGCTTACAGAAACTGCCTCTCAGTTAACCCTTATTACATTCTTGACAGGACTAGACTTCCTGTCTCTGGAACTTCTCTGGAGTTTTTTTCCCCCGTCCTTTGCTAATACTTTGCTTGTGTGGAGTGACCATTGAAAAAAGTGACATGACCGTTTTTCACACTTACGACTGTTGCAGCCTCCCCACAGTCACGAGAGGCCAGGCGAGGAGATGCATGCCTCGATGTGAGTGATGTTGAGTTGGCCACGCCCAGCCAATAACATGACCACCAAGCCACGTCTACCCAGTCACATAACCAAGCCACACCCACCAACTAAGCCACACCCACAGAACCAGTTGTTAAAAAATTTGAATCCCACCCCTGTGCAGAGGAATAGACAATTAGTATGTATCTTAGTCCCACGAAATGTGTGGGACTAAGTGATACCTGATTTTAGAGGTTTAGACAACCTGTGCCCTGTTGGGTCATCGTTTCAGATATATTTTTGTTACCTAAACAGCAAAATGACCAAGGGAAGGCAAAAAGCAGTGGAGCAGGAATAACTACCAACTTCTTGCTAGTTTTTCCATTGGATTTCCTTGTGAAGTTTCAAGTTGGCATGAAGCACTGGAAACTTCCCTCCCTCCTCCTTTCTTTTCCTCACTCACTTCTTTCCTTCCTTGCTATTGTTTTCTTCCTTTCCTTCTTCCCTCTCTCCTTAGAATTTCTGCTTGCTTCCTCATTTACTTTTGAGAATTTTGCAGTGAGAAAGTGGGGAAGCCACCAGGAAGTTTCAAGGCCAAGGCCAACAGACAGATAAGTGGGTGAGAAGTGAGGGGATGCACAGGGATGAGGATCGGGAATGATGGGGGGGCGCATGAGAGGTGCTGTGCAAGTCAGAGAAAGTGCGCAAGGGGAAGCCATAAGTCAAGAAGGTGCCTGAGGGGTTGCAGGGATGTGCAAGAGTTGCTGCATGGGTTGGGAAAGGTGATTGGGAGGACAGTCGGGGCCAGGAAGGGGGTGTGGGTTTCATTCCTCATTGTTCCTCCCTCCTTTTCCTACTTCTTTTCCCAGAAGCCACGTATGTAGATTCTGCTGGTTGGGGAAGGGACCAAGGGAGTGTCACAGAATGTTGAAAATGAGGATTATGTGACCCCCAGCTGCCCGGCAGCACTAAAGCAGCCACAGCTTTCCCAGATTTCATTTCCTCAGGAGTAAAGAGTCCTAGCATTCTATAAGTTAGCCCATTTGAGGTATCTTTGTTGATAAAGTTTTGATATACCATTTTGCCAAGTTCAAGGTTGCAGACACAAGAGTTTTAGTAGTATATCGATATTTTTTATGCTCTCATTAAATATGATTTTGGTATTGATATAATGATGCAATGCTACCCATATCTTTAAGCTTAAACCTTAAACCTTCTCTATATATTTTTAAATTATCTTAGGGGTTCAGATATTAAACATATTACTAAACGAACACCGGAGCAGCAGAAGTTAAGAGATGAACTCTGTGATTTGACAACAATGGAAGAAGCATTGGATGAATTAATCAAAGATTGCGCTCATCAGTTGTTTGACTTAACAGACAATAAAGAAAATGCAAAATATCCTTTTTCATTAACATTGAAAAATATTCAGAGTTGTTGGAATTGAACAATATTAGGTTTTTGTGTAATTATAATATTTTAATAATCATACTTTGTATACTAAAAGTAAACCATACTTTCTACTACTGCTGTTAACATTTCTTAACGGTTGCATACATTAGCTTACGTGACCTATCAAGATATCCATAATATTCAGACATTTCAGGAACAGATTATTATTGCAATTAAGGCTCCAGAAGGAACCAGGATGGAAGTTCCCCCTCCTAAAGAAGTAGGTACTTCTTGACTTGATTTGAAATGACTGGTATTTGATTGGATGGATAGCTGCACAAAAGATCTGCCTACAAAGACCAACAGTGAAGTTTTCATTTTTATTTTAAATGTCACAGAAGGAGATTCGTCATATATGCTTGTAAATTAACATAGATAAAGGTTCCCCTCGCCATACGTGCTAGTCGTTTCCGGCTCTAGGGGGCAGTGCTCATCTCTGTTACAAAGCTGAAGAGCCAGCACTGTCCGAAGATGTCTCTGTGGTCATGTGGCGGGCATGACTAAAGGTGCACAGAACGCTGTTACCTTCCTACCAAAGTGGTCCCTATTTTTCTACTTGCATTTTTACATGCTTTCGAATTGCTAGGTTGACAGAAGCTGGGACAAGTAACGGGAGCTCACTCTGTTACGTGGTGCTAGGGATTCAAACTACCGAACTTTCTGATAGACAAGCTTAGTGTCTTAGCCACTGAGCCACCTCGTCCCTTAATTAACATACCAGTGTAAAATTCAAGTACGGCTTAGGCTGGTAGTTTCTTCTACATGGAAATGAAATTACACACATTTTTGGTTTCTCACTCTAGAATACCTCATTCTGAAGTTTCAGAGGTATTTGAGCTGGTTTCACTAGGGTCAAACTGTAATGATTTGAAATGAACATGATTTTGTCCCACTGAGCTTAAGCAAAACCCCTTAATGAGAAGTTTATGAAGAGACTGGGAGACGCATACATACCCATTGCTAGTTTCAGAGTTCAAAGTGATACATAAATCAACAGCGTAAGATATTTGGGACCTTGAACTGCTTACTTGAAAATTCTTGTTACATTCTGGGGAATTAGAACTTTTTCCTGTGAATATTCTGGCATAGTTTGAGTTTTGAAATACAATGAAATCTATGCACCCTTCATCTATTAAAATATTTGTCATACTGTAATTTGCTTTTTTATCTTTAAATCATATTGGTATTTTTCAGGACCGCATAGAAGTACACGTTAGAAGTACAAAAGGCCCCATTGACGTTTACTTATGTGAGGTGTCGTTAGATAATCCAGACATTAAAGCTTCTGAAAATACAGATCAACTTTCATGCGAAAGCAAATAGGTTGCTTTGCTGGAGGTAAATATCATACAGGGAGATAGAAAGATTAAGGACTTGAAAGCAGAATAAAAGATGGCTTGTATTAAACAATGTAGAAGATGCCTAACATAGAATAGGGGAGAAAGATTTGATAATTAAAGAGAGGAAAGAAGAAAAGTACTGAACTGAAAAGAGATCAGTAGAGATGTGTGAAAAAAACTAGGCTCAAGATAAGGAGTCTTAATGTCAAGAAATAAGAGTAGGTGCAATTCAAAGGCCACCTCCACCCACTTTTTTAGTTAAATGATTAAGATGGTATTCACATTTGACGGGAGACTTACGAACAAGTAAAATGTTTATATAAGCTACTCATAACCAGAGCATTTTACTTTTTTCTTGAGATTGTTAGAATTGTATGTTGCAGTCTGATAGCATTGTGTCAGGATAAAAAAAACCCAAGGTGGAAACAAAGGTTGAGTGAACTTTTCTAGCACTAGCTATTTATAACCTATATAACCTATATAAGATAACACTATATAATTTACATCAACCTGTTCTCAACCTGTTGTCCACAGACCTCTGGGGGTGGGGCGCGGTATCCTCACGGGGTCTGCGAAGGCTTGAAGAAATGTTATGATTTAAATCTTGAGTTAAGTCTTGGTGGTCCATGGCCATGGTTTGTGGACACAAAAGGTATTTAAAGAGAGTCCATGGTGAAAAGAAGATTGATAACCACTGATTTATATGATACCATTGGGTTGTCAATATGTCTCCCCAAGGTCCATTGTTTAGGGATGGTGGGAAAGTTTGCCTTCTTGAACAGATAGTCCTTGACTTATGACAGTGGTAGATGCAGGCCAGTTTCTGGGTTCTAAAATGCGGTCACAAGTCCGCAGGGAAGGCAGTCAATCAGAGCTAGGTCATAAATGTCTTTTGGAGGGTCTGTCATAACTGAACAGTCATTAAATGACTAGTCATAAGTTGAGACTTTGTACTTTCATAGCTTCACTTACCTAAGCAGAAGTATCATGATAGATCCCGTATGTATGCATGTATTGAGATTATTGCATTACTGTGGTTAAATACTTCTCTGATTTATTATTCTGTTCTAAAATGATATGTATCTTAATTTTAACTTTTGCAGTGTATCACATGAAGAGTGGAAGAAAAAGTGAAGGATTTGATTTTTAAGCTTCAGATTTTCCAAGTTTTAAATCACTATGGACCAATGCAGAGATAACAGGTGTTTCTCACCTGAGAATTTGCTTCCTGTTTCAGGCATTCCCAATGACATAAAAGAGAAGAATTAAATGAACATCTTTCCTTTAGCCCTCTGTATCAGATCCAAAGTTTGTTTACGCTGGAAAAGTGACAGTTAATACAACACAAATGCAGAGACATGCACGGGGGAATACTGCTTAAGCAAGCCAGGCTTAAGTTTTACAAAAGGGGCTTAGGTTGTCTTTTGATACAAGGTTCATAAGCCCACAGAGTAGCTGCCATAATTTATTTCATGTAAGTGGCTTCTTTTGCAGCTCAATGCATAATAGCATTTGGGTTACTTTTACTGCTCTTTCAAAAGATAGCTCTTTGGAACTGAAGAGATGTATTTACAATTGCTGCACAACAGTTGCTCCAAGGTTGTTTTGAGCATGGAATACAATATAAAAATGCAAAAGGGGAAATGTTTTATACAAGAAAACTAGAGTAGATGAACCAAGGTTTTAAAAAAGAAGTCTGAAGAAATTGAAATTGCGTGGACCCAGCTTGTATGCATCATGTTTAAATGGTCATTAAAGAATATTTGGAAGGCAGAATTGCACTCCTGAATCTGTACAGCAAATAATAATAAATGTGTAAATATGAAAAGAATCGACTCCTTTTATCTTCTGTAATTGAATGAAACTTTAAAGTAAAAACTTTTGTATTTACAGTACATCCATGCCGCAATCTTACTATTTATTAGCATTAAAGTTGAGTGTCCATGCAGCTGTTGAAATCTTGGCTGTCTGGAGTGACAGAATTATAGAGTCAAGAAAGGCTATTGAATCGAACCCCTGCTTAGTGCAGAAATCCAAAGACACTCTGGGTCTCGACACATCTAGTAAAGGAGAATGCATTATCTGTGTGGAAATGATTCCACTGTGATTCCACTGCTCTTGTATATCAGATGTTTGTTAATTTGTTTTCCTAATAAGTCATAATTTGCCATTATTCTAGATCTGGCACTCTGGAATTAGTGGGACCATGTTTTGATTTTCCATCTGACATCTTTTCAAGGATTTGAAGAGCGTTGACGTAATTCTATACATCTTCAAAATTCATTATGCAGTAAAAATTTAATACAGTTTATTAAAAATGACACTAAACTATTAAATACAGTTTGTTAAAAATGATACAAAAGAAAACCTGTACCACTAAAATCAATTGACTGGGCCTTTTTAAATAGCAGTATAAATAAGTTATAATCGTGGATCCATCTTCCTCTTCCGCATCCACTTCCTGCAACTGCTTCTCTTTTCTTGGATTTGACTTTTGATTCAACACCCACCAGCAGAGTATCAAAGGGGAAACTATTAGAATAAAATTTTGAATGATACACCCTTGAATGCTCAAAATCTCCAATTGGACAAGTTATCTTTTCTGCGAATTCATTTTTACAACTTTTAAGATGGGTATTGAAAAGAACAGCTGGGTGTCTTTGGGCTATTTGCTCACTTTCAGCCCAGCTCACTTCACAGGTTTGTGGGGAAATGAAGAAGTAGTATTAGATAGTTACTTATGAAAAAAAAATGAAGAATAAAAATAAACATATAATCGATGCTAGAATCCATTCCTGTTCAATGTACCCGTTCAATTTATCAATTCAGTGGTCTCATGTTCATGACTTTCATAAGAAATTGCACAAGTTTCACAGTAGCAAGGTAAACACTTCAACTTATAGTGGCTAAAGCAGAGACTACTGGCCTTGACAATGAGAAGCCAAAGGTACGTAAGGAAGGAATAAAAAAAAATTGAGCTTGGCACAGCAGCTTTTCATAACGGAAGCAGCTAGGCTGCTTCCGTTATGAAGAGGGGCTACTGGCATGTTGACAGAATGCTCAGTAAATGGCCAGAAGCACCTTTAGAATGTGGTCAATACTACTACACTTTCTTAGAATATTCAGAAACCTTGCATTTCCATGTTCAATTGAGGCTAGCAGTAAAAGAATGACGTATCTATTCTGAAATAATTGGTAACAGGCTGAAATCTGATTTCCAACCTGACAGTTTGTCCTAAATACGTAGGTAGTTTCTGGTTGTACCTACTTCATAATTGTTAGGAATGGCATAATTTTAATTTCCATTACCCACTAGAGGGCAGTGATTACATTTCCTAACAACATCTCAGTTCCTTATAGGGGAATCCTAGACCTGTTCACTTGTAATCTCAACATGTCAATTGACATCAGTGTCTCACTGAGTTCAATAGATCCTATTCCCCAGTAGGTCCCAACTGACTTGCTGCAATAATTTAAGCATTTCCACACCATCTGAATGACTTAGAAATAGCATTCGAATCAAGGGTGGGATATGCTATTTGTAATCTTATTCAGGTATCATATTGACCCCAACAGAAACATTTTTCTCACACTAAAAGTAGATAAAATTCCTTAGAAGCATTCTGGGCATGAGAGAGTGTTTTATTTGTCTCTCGTAGACCATAACAACCCAGAAAAAAAATGAACTATTACAAATACTGTTTTTAAAAATCCCTTTTATAACCACGTTGAGGAAATATCAAAATAACTTTTCAGTCCAAAATATAAATCAATTTGCATATACATTAATACTTGTAAGTAATATGATTCACAACAAATTTACCATTTATCTTTGTCCAACTGTCTGGAAGAATCCACACATAATGTTATGCCAAAACTGCTGCTAAATTCAATTCCAATTTCACATTCTGGCTTGCATTCTGAAAGGGTGTGTTGCCTTCTGCTTAATTGTTCTTGTTTGGCAATGCTATATGGTAGCATTGCCAAAGGGGCTATTCAGCCCCTTACCAGGTTAATACACTGACTGAATCAAGATCCTAGCTTTGGTCTTCTTTAATACCTCAAGGCTCAGTATTATCAGATCCAGTTGCAAGAGATGCAGCAAGCCATTATTCAGATTCAGATATAAGTTTTTGGCCTTGTACATTTCCGGTGAGTTTTTATGCTGATTTATGACTCTAATATAGATTGAATTTGATCTGATTAGTTTTAACTGAAATAAGCTGGTATCTGAGCATGGCAGTTTGAGAGCAAGGTGGCATTCCATGGATGAAAAAAAATAGATGTGTTAAATCTGGGGAAAATGTAACATATCTGTTATTTTTATTTTTGACCAGAAGTCAGTCAGTCAGTCTCTCTCTGTCTCTGTCTCTCTCTGTCTTTCTGTCTCACACACAATTACTGATACGGATGTTTTGCTGCTGTATTTCAGCAACACAGTCTGAACAAAATCATAAAAAAGAGATGAAAAAGAGGTAAACAAAATTTGCTGGTTGCCCATCCTTGTCAACACTTTGTTCAGGCAAAGAGAATGATTGGCTTATGAATGATTAGTCTGTCTGACTATGTTTACTGGTCTTCACAAATCAGGATTCTTGGTAGTTCTGGTTTCATATTTATACAAATGCGGCTCTTGTTTTGACTACACATCAGTGAAGGATAACAATGATGCATTTGGAGCTAGACTGTTTACAGACATTTGCAAGATGCTCTTTTGGGCTGGAAACTCATCATTTTTCCCAATTGTCTGGTGCAGTTTTCTAAGTTTGGGGTGGGGGGTGGGACACCTCCTGATTATCCATTGCTTGTTTTACACCAGGACTTCAGAAAACCTACAAAATTAGAGGGGAATGACCCTCCAATTAGTGGTATGTTTATCTCTGGGGTAACTGGGAACATTTCCCGAGGACAAATTTTAAGCAACTTAAAAATTAAAATGTAGGAGAAGACTGAAGAAATGTAGGAGAGACTGCCCCCACTACTTCTCCCTGGGAAGAGGCTCACTATATAAACTTTGCCTTTTGCAGAGTTTTGTTTCATTAGAACAACATTTGCTGGTTTCCTTTTTTTCATTCAATTTGAGCATCCAGAATAGGATAAAAGAGCTATTTATAGGCATTGAAAATGAATGAGCAATACCCTATATTCTCCAATTGCATATTTTAATGAATGATGCACAATTTACCTTCTAATTTATTACCAGCCATGACATATTTTATTTATGAGAATTGAGTATGATTTAGAAAGCCCACAAATGGCTTCAGGATTGATGGTTCACCATCAATAAATAAAATAGACATTTATTTAAAATAAAGAGCAAGTAAAAATAAATATCTGTTTGCTATTAAGATATGAATAATGGTACACCCAGAAATCTCTACTTTATCACTGGAAGAAAAAAATTACAGGTATTTGAAAGCATCATTTAGCCTTTGGAATTACAAAATATGAACCAGAAATTCCTCCTAAATAAACTTTTCCCGCTCGTAATACAGTATATTGAGCACTTTTTATACTCAACATTTATTTTCACACTGTGGGGGAAAATAGTGATGTATCTTACTGGATTGTTGGAAGCCACATTGAGCAATGTTCTTATAATTTCACTTTTTCCAACAATAGTGAAAACAGTCTGACTATTGGTATGCCTGAAGGTAGAGATGCTATGCCACAAAATAACACATGAGAATTCCAGATAGTCAGAGGCATTTTTGTCTAAAAGAACAATAGAGGGGGAAAAGCACATATGGGAACATAGAAGGTTGTAAGAAAGAAGAACCGGGTTTATTATAGAAGTGGCTTGTTCATATTATTATGAAAAAGCAAAAAGTTTGATGGTAAAGCCTTATTTTACAGTCGGAAGTTAATGCTTTTTTTCCCTTTTTTTCCTTATGTTTCCTCACCTTGCGTTCCCCTTTCCCTTCCCATTGCTTTCCTATTTACTTTGTACTTTGTATTTTGTATTACTTTATAACTCAATAAAAATGTTAATTTAGAAAAAAGAATTGGGTTTATTAAGGAAGGGAAAAGAGGGGACGAAAATCACAAAGCAGAATTGACTTCATGGCACATACATGTAATTATCTTATGGAAGTGGCTTGCTGCTAACTTCTGATATGTGCTTTCAACTTCTTTCTTAGTGGTCTCCTATCCAAGAATTAACCACATTTGACCATTTTTAGCTTTCCAAGATCAGTCAAGATTGATTAGATGCTTCCCTCTAGTTGATGAAAGAAGTGCTACAAGAAGCAGACTGACAGAAATCTCAGTGGTGGTCAGTGCTAGAAGGCCAAGTGTCTTTTATAGGGCTGTGCAGTGCTTTAAACTAAAAGGCAAAAAACACTTTAAAGCAGCTGCATGTTTTCCTGAGAGGATCTGGCTTCCCTTTGCAATAACAAGATCAATCTGACAGGCTTGGTTTAAGGAGTTTCAGTCGGGTGAGGCATTCACTTGTGTCTATGTACTCCAAAGCGCCTTTGCTTTCAAATCCACAGTGTCTTCTGTTTTTTACTTTTGGTCTCCTTGTGACCTCTCATCTGAATAAGATTCCAGAAGATTCCAGAAGCTTTCCTCTCAGACTCTTGTAATTATTTCTCCTCCACAATTGTTTTTATCTTTTCTATGGCATTTACAGCAGGGGTGGGATTCAATTTTTTTAACAACCAGTTCTGTGGGTGTGGCTTAGTTGGTGGGCATGGCTTGTGGTCATGTGACTGGGTGGACATGGCTTGGTGGTCATGTGACTGGCTGGGTGTGGCCAACTCAATATCACTCACATCGAGGAACGCATCTCCTCACCTAGCCTCTCATGACTGGGGGGATGCTGCAA